GGTGCGAACTTCCGGCAGGTCCGTGGCTCGAACCCAACCTCTGTCTCGAATGGGCCACTTTGCAGCATCTCAACCATCTTGCTCTCTTCGGGTAGCATGGCAGCTAAGAACCGAAAGGGTGGTACAACGCTAAGTTTTCTCGGAGCAACATTTTTTCCTGCATGTACAGTTTAGTCCACGTTCTTCCGTACGAATACATATAGGTGGCCCACCTGGATATAGTGGAAAGCTGAACTTTACAGTAGCATAGCCTTTTTAATCATAATAGACGCAGGTATGTTGTCTAGTGCAGACTAGCTAATGGATTAGGCACTCCAACGAATCCGAATATTTCCTAGTTCTGAGGCTATAATGACGCTTCAAGTGAGTTGTTAGGCTCGAAACAGGGAAAATTCACCGCTGGCCAGTATGAGATTTCTGCTTATGGTCCAGCCTTGCGAGCCTACCTTGGAGCCACAGACGTGAGCGATCGGTATGGAACTTCATATGGTCTTGTTGGCAACGTCCAAAGAGACGAAAATACGAAACAGTCTTGTGTGGACTTGAACAGTTAATTTTCAGATGCGGCCAAGAATTTAGCTTGCGAAGGGTGTTAGCCACTGTGAGAAGCAGTCGAACGATTTTTTTTATTATACCACCATTTGTTGCACAGAAAATAATCAGACGAAAGATCGGTATGCATATTTGTTACGTTGTGTCACTATTCATAAAGCCCTCGCCTTATTTTTCGACTTTCTGTTCGCGTAGAGATCTATGATTTGGACAGTTGGCAGCCAGGTGTCCGACCGAAAAATAAGTCGAAAGCTGATTGCAAGCCGAAAGAGACGGTTATTGGAACAGTTACCAATTTTAATGGCGATATTTGTCTGCAACTGAAGCTAATCTACGTTGAAAAGTCCGGAAGCTGTTTCATCCCTATCGGGTGTCATCAGCAGTGCGCATCTCACGAAAACCCAACGAATTTCATATCCGTAACCTTCCGGCTAGTAGGTCGAACGCTACTGATAGGTTGCTGATGACCGGACGGCTGTTTCAAAAGCCTGTGAATATTTGACTTTTACTCGTACATGTCTCTATGTCTAGCTCGTATGTATAAAAAACGCCCAGTAGCCATTGGTAAATTTTCCACAGGCATGGCTGCCTTGAGTCGCCTCAGGGTACTCATAATTCAGTGGCCGCCGTTTATACAGGAGGCCGGTGCGTGTGAAGAACTGACGGTTTGGATAGGAATACCAAGGCAGGTCGTGTATTTTCCAAGCAGAGTTTTCACCAAACTCACCTGGTACATTCTGTTAACCAGTAGTTCCTTTTATTTTGTCTTTTAGCTTTAGGTTTTCTTGATGATGCATGTTCCGGGCTTCATTTTTCGCCGACTGTGTACAAACCTAAGACAGATTCCTTCTCAATGCACGCGGAAGGTAGGCTCTGTATTTCTCCCTGCCTAGTACGATTGAAGTTGTCTGTCGTTAACATTTCCCCCGACCGAGAAGCTGTCTATACATCTAAGTTGGAACTTAGAAGACCGGAACTAGAAGAAATAATGCCAGTATACCGTGTGCTGACCAAAGATGGTACGGCCTTTTCCCCCGAAGTAGAGCCACAGGTGTGTTCCTCCATTTTATTCCATCTTGATTTGTTACTTACGATGACAGCTCGAAAAAGATCATGTATTGAAAATGTTCAAAACGATGGTTATGTTAAACACTATGGACCGCATTATGTATGAATCGCAACGCCAAGGACGTATCTCATTCTACATGACAAACTACGGTGAAGAAGCATGTCAGATTGGATCCGCCTCGGCTCTTAATCCAGGTATGTCGGGTTCGCCCGCGCGATATGATTGTTCCGCACAAATATGGATTTGTTTGTCGTTCTCTACTCTCTCACTGTCTTCTATTTCAAGATGATTTCATTTACGGACAGTATCGCGAGGCAGGTGTGCTCATGTGGCGTGGCATGACTTTGGAACAGATGATTGATCAACTCTACTCAAATGTTGGTGATTGTGATAAGGGGAGACAAATGCCCGTGCACTACGGATCCAGGGATTTACATTTTTCTACAATCTCCTCACCGTTAGCCACCCAAATACCCGTCTGTAAGTTATATCCACGTTTCCGAATCTTTATGCCCAATTATTTGGCAGGCGCTGCGACTCTCCAATGCTACTTTCACACATCCAATCACCCTGGGGAGAAACGATTTTAGGTTGACCGTGGAACTACACTGGAATCGTTTTAGGAACACCGAGATGCTTGATTGAATCCACAGAAGCGAACACCACAATGTTAAAACCGTCCGTCTTTGAATCGGATTTTCCAGTCAACTGTTACGGCGAATGTCAGAGATGATGCTGCAACTGCACACCCCGACAACGACTGTTTTTATCTCACTGAACTATGTAAGATCATTCAACATAGGGTCATCGTCACCGTTGACAGGAATTCATCAATAGGAAATACTCGTGCTTAATTTCTAAAACCTTCGTATGTGCGTAGGATACGTGCATACCAGATGGCTCAGTGGTTAGAGCACGAATTCACTAACCGGAAGGCCCGTGGTTTGAACCTTACCTCTCCTGTCTAGGCTTGGGCGACCTGGCAGTATCCCAGCCCTCGAGCTTCCTTCGGGTAGCGTGGCACCGAACGGGTATTGTAGCCGAACAATTTTTCATTATACCACCGTCTGTTGCACACAAAATAATTAGACCGCATGATAGAGATGAAAGATTGGCATACATATTCATTGCGTTGTGCTCCCATTCATAAAGTCCTCCCCTTATTTTTGACTTTCTGTTCGTGTAAAGATCTATGATTTGGACAGTTTGCAGCCAGGTTTGTGTGATGGATGGTGACTTACTTAATGCTTAGAGATCTGGCCATAGTATCAGATGTGGGTGTGCGATACGGATGAGGTAATCGAATCACGGCATTTTTGGGAGTTTTCACAATCCCTGCGTATGTATCAGATCGTTAGTGATACTGAACTGGTCCGTGACAAACAGTGCGAACGATTCTTACCACTTGAGCTTGGCACAGTATTCAAAATAATGTCGCATGATTTATTAACTGGCGGTTTTCCGCCGATGCACACATGCCCACTTATTCCACGCTCATCCACACCAGATGAATCGTCACGCGTTCCTTTAATGCACACACCTACCAACCGAACCACGCACAAGCCACATGCACGTTTCTACGCGCCTTCATTCTATCTGTAACATTGATGTAGGTCTGACGAACCAAATACGTATCATTGTTACCGGTTGGCCTGAATTGTAATCTGTGACGATTGCATTAACAGTGCGTCTATTTGAAGTTACTAGTTATTCGCGGATCGATGGTTCTATGATCTACGAGCTGATGTGTGGCTTGTTCTCGCCACATTTCCTGAATGCAGCGATTCCAAGAAAGACACATCATTTGGTGGTGACCTGCAAAAGGGACGAAACGCTGTAATTTTGGAAGTTGCTTGAACGACACAGTTTTGCGTCCCGTACTTTTCAAATACAGTCAGGTTTTCTAATATTCTAAACTACCCGTAATGCTGCTATAGAAGTCGTCTTGAAGGTTGGAAAGCCAAAGACGTAATAATATACTGTCCATATAGCAATGTCTGCTTTTCGATATGAACGTGAAAGCACTTCTCTTAATGTGTGACCACCTCCCCACCATCATAGCCGGAGGAGCGCTCCAACTGTGTTAGCTATTACAAATAAGCGGTAGGACGCATCCAAGGTGTGATGTATGCGGCAAACCATCCTTCACTCCTTCCACTAATTTCCACATCTCTTCTACCACAAATAGCGGTTGGCTCTGCCTATTCCTTCAAGCTAAGCCGCAACGGACGTGTGGTTGTCTGTTACTTTGGTGAGGGGGCAGCGTCAGAGGGAGACGCGTTCACCGCACTAAATTTCGCCGCCACGTTGGATTGTCCGATCATCTTCATTTGTCGAAACAATGGCTATGCAATCTCAACACCGGTGCGTGAACAATACAGGGGTGATGGAATAGGTAAGTATACATTTCCTGATCTCTTTTGCGCTCCCTCCCAGTATATTGTTCACCGAAGCATGTTGCCTGTGCCCGATTGTTCAAATAATTGCGGTACATTCTTACTGTTGTTTCTCTTTTAAAAACCGGATTCGTTTTTAACAAATCGTCATATATTTGTCGCAGGTTTTGGGCTTCCACTCTGTGTGCCTTCTGTTTTATATGTTGTGCTAGGCGATATTTCTAACTTCGTGCGTTAACCCGCCCAGCTTGGAAATCGATTACAGGATCCGCGATCCACACGGGTATTTACTTAATTTCGTCTACCGTTTTCGAACTCATGACTTCATACATTACTTTGTCGGGTTTCCACCACAAGGCACCATGTAGCTCTCAGTCAATGATGAAGTTACACCCATGGCAACCTCTACACTCACGTGTCAGTTTGGTGTTGATCGTTTAGTGTAGTTTCACAGTGCAGGCGGGTCTGAGTTCTTATTGTGTAACAGGATCTTGAACTGGAGCGACCACTCAACCGCACTACCTCGGGCTTCAATGCGCTCTACTTATGGTGATAACGCACTTTGTTGATTCAGATATTTAGGTACACGTTCAGGTGTACTTTCCCGTAAGCCCGCGCTTGTTCATCGCAGTTCCAGCTGAACTGCAATAGGACGTGAGAAGGATTCATTACTTTACTTGTAGAATCTGTGAATTCGATTCGCCCGAAGAGGAGGTGGAACTGAGTGACCATGAATGCAGAGGTCATAACTGAGATATTCCACAGACGCAGATGTTGTTAGAAATTCGAAAGCGGTATAAATATTTTTCTGTTTCACGGAGAGGGACCGGAAGTAGTTCTGCGTCGATGGAATACATGGATGTGAAGTCTCTTTAGGACTTACGCTAACTCAAATGACAATATCATCGTTGATCAAACAGCATATTCAACGCATCGGATATCGGATTAATCGTACAGGAATTTGAGGCTCTCATGGATCTCAAATCGCTCGGATTCAGTGAAGCCATGATGAGAGATCTGTTTTGAGGCCCACGTTTCACTTTTATCGACCAACAGATCTTATTTATTTCGTTCATCCTTGTCTTTAGTTCAAGTAAATGTGTCTTTAGCAGTGCGGCAGTTGAAATTAACGCAGAACATTAACACACAATTTGTGTTTTACTCCGTTACCCATACGGTTTCAGTGCTTTACAGACTGCGGTGGTCAAGCCATTGTCTGATGGCACTCCACACATGTGTTAGACACGAATAACGTTTTCAACTTCACGAGCGGGAGAAAACCTCTGACGTTCAGGCCTGTTATTCTGTAAACGCTGTGATATGAGTTGCCGTTCTTTAAAGACTGCACTTTTTCTCCTAACTCAAACTGTACAGTATGCAGGCCCACGTCATGGGTTTGTTAGAAATCTTGTGTTCAGTTTGGCAGTACATATTTTCAGTGGGAACTACACCAGCAATTAGGTATTGGTGCTTATGCATCTAGAAACGGTATAGTCCAGTCATTTCATCTGTGCGATCTCTTCTCTCCTCCACTGTACGAACTTTGAAACATTAGATATGATTGCTCCAGATTCTCTGATCCACTCGTGTCCGTGTAGCCCGAAGTTTATCCCTTCTCTTCAGGTATGCTGTATTCCCACCTCCATGTTCTTGGGAAATTATAGACTATTTGCGAACTAAGCTCATTTGTAAACGATTTGGCCTTGACTGGAGACTCAGGTAAATTTTTCATTCATGATATTCTGGAATTGACTTTCAAGTACACCTACCGGAAAGCTCCCAAGTGGGCTAATGGTTCTGAGCCGCAAAGTCTCCGGCAACTGTGTGAGTAATGTTTCGTCAAGACAGCATATTGCGATATGTCGAATATCGCAGCCGTTGTGCAGCACATTCATTCGAAGAATATCCTAAATAACAGATTCAGCTGGGGTTCAGTTGAGCCTCCCGTTAACACTAAATTAATTTGTAACTGAGTGTACTTCGCGAATTGTGTCCAGTTTGGGTTCAAGTAGACCACAGGCTAGACAGAAACTCGGGAACTGATGAGGCACCTGCTCTGTGCAGTTGCGTTAGAAATCAGTTAATTATACCGTAGAACCGTCGGGCAAGTCCAAAGTGCCGTGACTTAAACATTCGATTGTGCGCGTCCCGGACTGGCGCCCAAGGAAAGCCTGAAAAATAGGAGGGGAGGCGGCGATTGGAAATGTCTTTTCCAGGCTATTCGCACCACCTGGCCAAGAAAATCATCTATCAGCAAATTTATCACAGAGGACGGCGGTTTAAACCTCCGTTCCAAGTCTCGTCGCCTGCTTTGGTGGGCGGAACACTTCGAATGACGATTTGAACCGGTTCGAGGTACCCAGTATAACGACCAGCGTACTAATAACTTCACAATGGGACGTGCATTCCTCGATTCCAACAATGAAATCAAACTTTGAGAAGATTTGCTGTCCTCTTGCTACCTTTGTCAAGTGATCGCTTGCCTCCCGTGCCCTGTTCGCTGGGACACGTTCTGACTGGAAGATGTTATGAGTTGGGAAACTTACGGCTTGGGGGCTGATCGCGTAAAACAACGAAAGGTGTTGACTGCACCGGTTCATTTCGTCTGCATTGCAGACGATTCAATGCAGTGCCTCAGCTGTTCGCAATTTATCTAGCTTTCGAGGTCCTAGTTGCTGCAGCCACGTACAAAAAGCGACAGCTCATCTATTAATCATCAAAGTCATACGTTCCAGTGTGCCTTTAGTGATGATGATAGTCCATCTTACATGTTCAAGTTGTATTCCCTGTCGGCATTGAGCCGAACGCGACGGGAGGCGTTTTGTCAAAGCTCTGACAAACCAGGCGCGTCCTTTTATGTCCTTGTTTGGCCAATTATAGATTCTTTAGGACATTTGCGGAATGATTCACCCTTTGGAAAGTCATAGTTGTGGCGTAAGATATCTAACGCTTGATCATTTTAATCACAGATCAACAGTTTGTGCTTAACTTAGACATGCAGTCTTACTATGAATCCAAGTTCGACACCCGCATATATTGTACGTCATTGTTCCTAGTCTCTAATGATGATGAGATTCGTTGATTTCCACCATAGAGGTCTAAGCTGCATCTCAGATAGCTCAAGTGGTTGGAGTACGAATGTACTGACCGGATGGTCCGTGGTTCGAACCTGACCTCTGCCTCTCGACTTTCCCAGTCTAGGCTTGGGCAACCTGGCATTATCCCGGCCCTTCCTTCGGGTAGCATGGTAGCTAGGCGCCGGAAAGGTGTTACAGCTGAACGACTTTCTTCCGTATCTCACATTTTTTTGCGTTGTTCGCGTTATTCCTTGTTTCAGTTTGAATGTTCCATTTGCACCCATTTTAACACCGCCTGGCAGTCAAATTCTTCCCAGTGTTAGTCTCGTCCTTTGTTGACCCAGTAAACACCGTCGTCTCCACCTCAGACAACCAAAGTGACTTTCTTTCTTTCGAATGACCACATTATTCATGAGGTTGTTGGATATCCTTCAACATCTCACTACCGGTTTCGCCTTTCTTGGGACTCATCAGATGGGCGTAGTCCCCCGAGCTTGCGTGAATATCGTAAATTGGAGATTCAGCTTGGGTTTGGTTGTGTCTCCCGTTAACACCAAATTATTTTGCAAATGAGTGTTTTCCGCCAATCACGAAAATTTGGTGTTCAAGTAGAACATATGGATGGTGGAGACCCGTGGACTACGCCCACTTTCTAGTCTTCAAGACGGGAAAGATCCGTACTGTCTTCTAAGAGTCTTCACGATCTTGTATGTGGTGTGTTATGTTGAGAAAAACTGTCATCAATGGACGTCTGGAAAAGATGGTTCCAGGAGCGTATACAAATTAAAGATATGGTCGATACATCCTCGGCCAGAACAAGACGCAACTTGATTCTTTCATACTCCTCTCTCCTGCTGGTCAACCAACCCGCGTTGGACGTCGACGCTAGAAAAGTCTGGATAGAATAACCTGGTGGGATCAGGGGCGTGCAAATGGAAGAAGTTTGAGCAGTTGGAAACGTCCGAGAACTGCTGCTTCTGATGTACAAGATGGAACTGACAGAATCTCTTGTTAATGGTGCCATCATGGATAATATCGAAAATTGCGTTTAAAACAAATGCTAGCAGTTAACAACGGTTTGTCTGGCCATCTGCCCCTGTATCCATATCTTCTATTCGACCCGCGCCACTCCAGCCGTTATCTGTGATTTCTGACAAGAAAATATGCTGTGATATCTCGAATATCATGTCAACTGAAACGTCGTTTCATCCCCTGCTCATTGTGTATCTACATGTTTGGACATCAGGCACATGTGGGTCAGCTCTCACGTGTAACGACAACCGCTCTCGGGTGACTGGCCATTCTAAAACGCACTGCACTTATCATCTTTTTATCGAATCTCCATGTCTATGTTTTCCTGACATTCCTATGGGCGTTCATTCACGACCATCTGTCTTTACAGTTTCCCGGGCCCCCGCACTCGGCATAGTTGGTGTTCGCGTTGATGGCAATGACTTGTTCGCCATGTACAATGTCACCAAAGCTGCACGTCATCTGTGCATCAACGAGAGTCGACCGGTGTTGATCGAAGCAATGACTTACCGGTGAGTAAGTGTTTGTGTTGTTGTCGTTGATTTTTTGCCAAATATTTTGGTTTATAATGTTGTCTTGAATCGCTGCCCGTATCCATTTTTCTAAAGTCTTCAGAGTTCCTTACTCTCGTCCTTTCGTTTCTCTAATATCCACTAGAGCAGCTTCATCCTGAATTAAGACTTTCGGATAATCCCGTGAGCTACTCGGGCTGGAACTTAGCTCTACGAGCCGCAACTATGCTAGGAAAATCACCATGAAGTCAGACTAGAGTGACCAAGACCCCGTATTACAATTGACCGCACTACAAGACGGTCTAGAAGCAAGGTGGTGTTGTCTTCTACACTGGGTTTCTGGAAGCGACAAGGTCTTTCCCCCAGGGGACGGAGATGTTTCCCGCTTTCTAGGAAGACGGGTCGAAAGAGGTCGGCTCTAAAAACCGCACACTACTATCGTGTGTTTCCCTCTTTCTAGGAAGACGGGTCGAAAGAGGTTGGCTCTAAAAACCGCACACTACTATCGTGTAATAGTTAACCGTGACCGCCGGCGAGTTATGCAGTACGGCCGAGAAACGGCTAAAGTTTGCCATGAGCTCGATGCCACTCCAAACGCATCTGCTTTACGCGGGAACCTCAGGAATCAGGCATCTATGCCTTACTCCCTGTGCCCTCAGGCTAGGACATCCTCCTGCAACCCAGCAAGTCAGACTGTTGAGTCGTTGGCTCCGAGCAGGGTCTCTATGAAAAGCTCTATCACCCGCTGTCTTGGCGATCAGACTTGTTATTCAAGGTGGAGTGCCTAAATTAAACGTTTTTCAGTCTGAACAACTTGGACGTATCATTTAGCAGCATGGTTCTTTATTCACTGATCTCTCCACTTCCTTGCCACCCTGCAGGCAAACGTTGCTTGATCATTTAGTTGTTAGATTTCTGGCCGATATACCTTAACCAACCAACCGATCGGCTGCAATAAATAAAATAATACTTTGATAAACTTACGTGATTCTTTACAACGCCCGTGCTCTATCAAATTGGTAGACTATCCTCACCCAGGCCTTATACTCCATTGCGGTTGACTTAGCTGTTTCCGAAACAAGTATGCAATACTATAGTATGGTCGTGCACCCTAAGGCGCTTAGGACGAAGTCACCTACTCGCCGTCTGTCTGTCCGGAAACGGTCCCTCGTTGAATATATGGCGTGAGAGTTGCACTCGGCCACAACGCTGTGCACGCTTTGCTGGATTGAATTCTACCAGACAGTCATCTTTGCATCGTTTGCTTATCCAGCTCACTCAGGTTCAACGCCATGACCCGAAGACCTGTGCCTGTTTTTAGTGACAGCTTATACTCCGACAGACTGCAGTTCTGACTCTGGGCTCATTTATCAAACAAGAAGCACTGATATTGCCACCATTATGGGTTGTAGGAATGACCAAGTCGTTTGTCTGAACCATTTGGTAACTACATTTGGACGGTTGATTCAGAGTGGATGCTCACCGCATAAACGTCGAAGAACGACTGCTCTAGTGGACAGACCATCATCTGTTTCTAGCCAGTATGAGTTTTAAACATATGAGTGTTCTCTTAATGTAATCTGGCGATCATCGTAGGATCGGCTGAATCAAGTACCCATAAACCACTGGAGAAGATTCGCTACCAAGAATTCCGATCCTTCTGAAACACACAACCGAATTCCGAGTACGCCTGACGATTCGCTTTCCTTGAGACCCTAGTCAGCAGGAAGCTTGTCAGAAAACTACGGAAAACTGCTGTAGCTCAACATCATCAGTCTGAGCTAGTTCAGCTACTCTGTACGGTAGACCAATACATGGATACGTGGATAAAACATGACAAAGGGTATATGGAGCTTTTCTAGCGGTGTTCGGTGCTCTTTGTCCGATATATCCAGTCAGAGGACAACTGGATATCGTTGAGTCAGTGCATACGGGCGAATGGAATGTAGGCCCTAATCGCCTCTCGGAAGAATAAATACAGTACGAAACATTCGCACTGAACTTGGAGAAGGCACCAGGACCGGATATTCTGTATCCAACCCTCTTCAAACGGGTGACCCATCTAAAAAGACTCATTGGTGCGCTGTGGGGGGGGGGTAGAAAGTGCCTACGGAATGGAGCACGTCAACGGTTATTCCTTACCTCAAAAATGGTATCCGGATGCTGTGTGAAAACCATCGCAGCGTCAGCCTGCTGGCTGTGGAATCAACGGTGCTCTCTCGTCTCACCCTTCGAAGTTTGACCAAACACTGGGGGAGACAAATCCATGAGAACCATGTTGAGTTCCGTCCTGCAAAAGTGTCTACTTTCAGTGCAAACCCTCTCCCCAACGAAGAGTCTACTGTCGCTCTTGGATTCGTGCCCCGTGGTACTAGTTTACCGTCTCCAATGCTTAACACTTTACTCCAATCTTCCCGAGATCATTGGCGAACAAAACTTTCGCAGCTGCAACTACTGTAGGTGTACGCGGTTTACAGGTGTAAGTGATGATGATGATAACTACATGACCATTGAACTTAGGTATTTGCTGCTTTTGAGTACACGATGTCTGACATACGACTATAAATAGACCATTATCCCGTGGAGTGACAGTAGCATGCCAGCAGCTCCAAGTTTCTTTTATGCCTTTTCGCACTGGGCTTCTAAGTGGTGGGTTAAGATGCTAGGTGGTGGGTTAAGATGCTGGGTGGTGGATTAGTATTACTCCCCGAGGGCTGTTGGTACAGTGCTTTCCAAAAGATTCTGATCGATCTACTGGAGTGGGAAGTTTTCTAGTTCCCTCTTGACTGCAACCCTTGATCAGTTGTCTACCGTGAACTCGCTTTCTTATTGTCTGCGAATGTTTTTATATATGTTATGACACACCATAGTGTATTGTTCTATGTCGTAATGTATTATACTATAATATATTGTACTATATACCCTATCATATATGCCATATTACAATGCGTTACATACTATACTATATTACATTATATTGTATCTTATTACATCATGTTACAGTGTTTCGGAACCTAGTTATTAGTCGCCCAACTTCATGAAATGTAAGTTCAGCTTTTTTCCCTAGTGATTAATGAGTGCATCTAGTTGTGTTCTCTTCAAAATACCTTCTAGAGAGCATCCCTCGCGATGAGTTTTCCCTTCAAAATTCAACCTGGAAGTCTCGTCTTTCAAAGAAACGAAAGACACACGGTCTGCTAGATACAAACTGTTCAGTGACTTTTGAGGCTGATTTGCTTCAAATAGGTGTAGTCTTGCGCCAAATCACAAGGTTCACCTGCCTTGGATCCAGACATAACTACTTGTTCAGGTAGCAGACCGCCTTATGTGTTTTTCGGTAACAGATGCACCATTGGTCGATCAGTCTGTCGTTGCCACACTCACTGAAAGTGATTCCTGTTTTTGCGCCGAGTTGCTGCGGTGTACTTGTCTTTCTGGACCATATGTTAAGAATAGCAGACGGATTGAACATTTCATCCAAGCGTCCTGTGATAACAACATGCTTGAGAAGACTAGAGAAATCGATAAGTTGGTGTGACATACCATAGATTCGTACTATTGGGCTGATCTTTCGAATACCGACGAAATCTGGCGCGTTAAACTCCGCACTGCGCTTGCCTCCGCTATATCCGACCCTATAGTGTAGTTTCCCGATCAACGGTGAAGAAGCGCGACTGTGTATACTTACGAAACAATAGACAAAATATCGTTTCAGAAAGGTTTGAGAAGCTGTCGATGGATTTATTGCTGAGAAAGCTTCACTCAATGATTTCAACGCGCATTTACTGACCGGAAGGTTTGTGGTTCGAACCGAGCTTCTGCGTCTCGACTTCTCCTGTCTAGACTTGGGAAAGCTTGCAGTATCCCAACCCTCGTGATTCATTTGGGTGGTATGGCATCTAGCAACTAAAAGGGACCATTATCATTTTATTTGATATAAAAGCTTCCCCAGATCAAAAGACTAAGTTGCAAGGCTTGTCTGATTTTAAGACATGGACCTCTTCGTACTGCAAAGCCGTATGAGTGTTGCGTACTGGCTGGAAGAGTTTCTTCATATGGGTTATCAAGAGTTAAGGCCGATGGGCCAGGGAAAGAAATCACGTGAATTAGGGTTGCGCCTATGGTTTGCTCTTTCCGGTCCAGCTCATGTAGTAATTCCATTTCAGTGTCATTTACGATCTTTGTTTGGGTGGGCTAGTTTTAAGACACCTGGGTAAGGAAGAGAGATTACGTGGATTTGGGTCGGGTTTGATCTTCTCCGCATCTGCTGCTGATTCCACTTGGTTGTCGATCGCACACCACGTGTCAGCTCGGCTTGTCTAAAACCGTCCTTAATACGCTTGCCATCTGTATGCCCTTTGTTCTATTCACGCAGGTCTGTCCATTCTCCTCTTGTGCTAATCGATCCTATGTAGTTTACTGGCTTTCTGTCCTGTGTTGACCGTAGTGCAGTCATGGTATTTGTTTTTTTAGATACTCTGCCCTTAGTCCTTTCAACCGGAACGGGGCTGGATGGCTTAGTGGTTAGAGCGCGAATTTACTGACCGGAAAGTCCGTGGTTCGAACCCGACCTCTGCCTCCCGACTTCCCCTGTCTACACCTGGGCAACTTAGCAGTATCCCATCCCTCGTGCTTTCTTCGAGTGGCATGGCAGCTAGGCACCGAAAGGGTGTTCCAGCTTGACGACTTTCAACCAATTGCACCACTGCTGAGTGTAACGTTTTTCTCTTTTGGAACGGTACTCTAACGTTGATTGCGCTTATTCCCCTGACCTGATAAAGCTTTTTATCGAAACGCTACCTAACAATGAATATACCGATTTTTTTTCAAAATTTCCTGAAACAACGAGTAAGTAACTCTGTAACGGCTTGGTAGTCGTAAATCACAAGTTGGTTCCGGTTTCGTATCACTGACATCCGTACCACCTAATTGCAGTGGCCACTAGCCTGATATCACGCCCCTTTTGCCTGACACAATGACTGCTCTATGTTTTATGTCTCTTCATACATCCTAAACTAGCTGTTAAGCTTTTTCGAATACATTCATTCGGACAAAAGCGTATATAACGCCCCAGGAGTAACGGTTGAACTGTGGTCGAATTTGTCTGTGTAAAACACCCTACTTTTGGCCATCTGTTGCGCATGCTAAACCACCTTTTGCTGTTCTCAATGCACAATTCAGATTGGTGCAGACAGAGAGGTGGTCAACTTTTGACCTGACAGAGTATGGAATCGATTACGAAAAATCTGGGTATTTTCGGTGCGACCCGACTTCCAGGACGGTATCCGCGTGATCCCCACTGTGCATGGTTGGAGACTGAAGATTTTGCCTTTTGGCCATCTGTTGCGCATGCTAAACCACCTTTTGCTGTTCTCAATGCACAATTCAGATTGGTGCAGACAGAGAGGTGGTCAACTTTTGACCTGACAGAGTATGGAATCGATTACGAAAAATCTGGGTATTTTCGGTGCGACCCGACTTCCAGGACGGTATCCGCGTGATCCCCACTGTGCATGGTTGGAGACTGCAAGATTTTGCTGCTAATCTATATCACTGAAGTTCCTGTCGCCAGTTTCTATCCAGAGTGTAACTGAATGAGTGTCTGGAGGTGTAGACATCTTGAAACGATTATTATAGGCTAGTACTAAGTCCCTCCCTGACCACCTTTGTTCCCTTCTTCAGTGTTTGAACACTGATGTTATGCTGTCGGTGACATTGATAAGAAAGAGGACATCTTACGTTCCGTACCTGGTCCTTTTTTCAATCAGATTCCTGAGAACCGTTTCTTCAGTTTTATCCCAATTATGTAACTGACCACTTGTATAGGAAAGATAACCGTTCCAGTTGGTGCCTAGTCTTATGTTCGTTTGACTGCTGGTAATCGCGGAAGTTTTAATGAAGTAACGTGACGTAATCAAGTAATCGATCACCCCACCAACCCGAAAACAGGTCTCCGGTTTTGCAACATATGCCGACGTGTTCCTCCAACTTCATTTGTTCCGGTGACCCTGGTGTTATCCATCGTCAAGGTTTGTCCGTTCATCCTAAGATAACAACCAGCACTCTGATAGCGTAGGTCCGCGCCACAGAATCAGACGAAATGACCGCGTTCACCTGACCAAAACTCGGAGCTTTTTTCGGGAAAATGGATCGACCGAGAGCTCTTTGTCATACTCGGATATTTAGGTGGGGAAATCGACAAGATGTAAGACAGTCTCATTTAATTTAATTCAATGATCAAAAGCCAGCAGGTGGTGATAAGAAGCTAACAAGCGGTATGGGAGTCACGTGATTCTATCAGTTGTCTATCCGAACACGTCATTTTTAGTGCCTGGACGAATCACTTTTATATACAAGATTCGAGTTGGTGAATCCCTATACCAGTGAATTCTACAGCAGCCACTTTTTTCGTTATGACGCACATGATTAATTTTCCGGTGCTTTATAAGTTGATGCAAATCTGTTAAAGTCTTCTCAGGATTTCGCCTGTCCAGTAAATGGTCATTTTTTGAGTCTGGTAGTCACTAGGTTCCTCGCGTTTCACATTGTCCAATAAACTGCATTACAAAGATCCTGTCACTATTCAATGAAAGTAGCCAACAGATTGCCGAATTCCGGTCGGACCTTTTCACCTGTTGACCGTTTTTATTGATGTGCATTAATTATTCTTGGGCCTGGTGGTGCACTACGAAAGGGTCTAGAAATGCTACCGAAAAACGCACGTCAGTTGTTAATAATAATAATAATCGTTCAGCTGTAGCACCCTTTCGGCGCCTAGATGCCATGCCACACGAAGGAGGCACGAGGGCTGGGATACTGCCAGGTCGCTCAAGCCTAGACAGGGGAAGCCGAGAGGCAGAGATCGGGTTCGAACCACGAACCTTCTGGTCAGTAAATTCGTGCCCCAACCACTTGGTCCATCTCACCCCGCCCATCAGTTGTTATGTGTTCCATGAAACGTCTAAATTTATTGTTCAACCATGCTGTAGTTCACTTGGTGGTCAACTCTGAAACCGCACTCGACAGGTTGTTTGACCCACGCTATCGGGATCGCTTGCGGTTTGAACGGAAAAAATTGTTCAGCTGTAGCATCCTTTCGGTGCCTAACTGTCATGGCATCAGAAGGAAGCACGAGAGCTGGGATACTGCCAGGTCGCCCAAGTCTAGACGAAGTCGAGAGGCAGAGGTCGGATTTGAACCACGGACCTTCCGTTCGCGCCCTAACCAATGAGCCATCTCGCTCTCGAACGAAAATTCTTCCTCGCAGTGCCACGCACAGCTGACTGTCCGCCATGGCATCCTCTCTACGCATACAGCCCACCTAAGGCCGTTGTCCACTCAGTTGGTAAGGTTGCTTTCGTCAAGCTTGGTTGTCTGTGACATACGGTCTGAGGTGGGCCGTGTAGTTGGTCCGTTCACCTAGATTCTGGTGATATGCCTGTATCACATCCGCAAGGTCATTCGGGGTACCGCGGGACCATCACAGCAGTGACCTGCCATCTCCGAACACCAAGCAAATGAATTCCTGTTTGTCACACACCCAAATGCCCGAGGCGGGCAACTTTGATGGCTTCACACGCAATCATGCATACGTATTCACATCCTTGAGGAAACACGGTTGCGTGTATTGGTTGTCCAGTAGACCGATTGTCAATAAACGGACTAATAGATGGCTCGGGTTTTGTAGAGTAACCAAGTTCGTCCGACGTGCGAGTTTTCGGCGGTTCTCGGTCGGTCATACCTGTCATATCAAGCACAGCTGGAGGCTCCACCATAACCCGTTTGAGCTTCTTGCTTCTATGCTTCACTCTGTGTAAATCTTATCAAGTACGACAAACTTCCCGACCTGGAAAGTTTGAGCGGAAGCCTCGGTCGTGTGTATCAATCCGTGACAGAAACTTGGTGACTTCGTCCACCTGACGAGGCCACAATGAGTTGTGGGGAAGTTGTTTTCAAACCAACTTTGTAGATTTTTAATCGAGATAAACGACAGCCAGTGGCTGTGCATTCTTTTTTAGAAGGCCTACCACGGAGGCTGGTGATTTAAAAACAAGCAACATTCAAAATAACTTGTCTATCTAAAACACTCATGGCCCATCGATGCAACCAAGTAAAGGAGGTTAATCCTTACCGTTTCCCGGGGAACTTGTTCGTCGTACATGATGATGCTAGTTGTTTCATTGTTTACAGCTTAACGACGTGGTTTTCTTCTGCCTCGCTTCGGGGAAGAGATGTAAAGTATGCAGCCTACTGTGTGCATGCCAGTGTTTTTATTGTGTTTGAACCGCTTACTCACTGATGCTGAGTTTCGGGACCTTATCCAACATATGTCCGCTCGTGTTGTCTGCAATTTACTACGTCATCTCGTCTGCAACAATCGCTTAATTTTAGGGTTGGTCACCACAGCACTAGTGACGACAGTTCTGTCTATCGTTCGGTTGATGAGGTGAACTACTGGGATAAGTCCAACAACCCAATTCTGCGGGTGCGCAACTATCTCGTGCGGAAAGAGTGGCTTACGGAAGAGGAAGAGAAACAAATACGTGCTGATTGCCGTAAACAGGTCAGTGTTTTTTAAATTTATGTTCAAGTTAAATGACATTACTGTTGTCCATAGTTCAAGGAGAGTGGAAAAATCTTTTCCACTCTCATGACATCGTTGAAAGTGCCCAAATGTAAATGGAATTTCATTACTGTAGTATAAAGAGCCTCCGATACGGTCTTCTCCCGGTAAAGCTTCCCAACCGAGTCCCGTCACAAGAGAGTACTTTGTTTAGTCTCTGACTGATTGGATGCATTGTGAAAACTGACTTTTTATGATATGTACATCCTACTGGATACCTGTGTGTTGCCAGCAGGATTATCAAGCGGCTACGGTAATGTCAATACTCAAGCCGGTCGTCTGAATACTCCTTTTGTTCAAACACGATTGTTCTACAGAACGTCAACCTGAGGGTAGATTAACTGACTTTCGTTTCATCTTCTTTGGTTATGTCGGGTTTCGAACCTTGAGGGGTGACCTTTCTGTCAGTGTTTCGCCAGCACAAACTGAATGAACCCAACTTATAATGTCTAACCAGATGTAAGCATGTGACCGGTGCCTCGGAAATTGTCATAACTCTGTTGCAAGGTTGTTCCGCACCATGTCAGATATTCTCATTTTAAATCTTGACATGTCTAAGTGAATGCTTTGCCGGCGAGGTATTACGGGAGTGAATCTGAAGTCAGGTGCTTTCCATTGTGTGTTGACTGACGCAAATTGCGACGCTAAAATACGAAGGGAGCTCTTCTACACGTTTCGCAGCTACTCATGGTGTAACGGTGATACTACTGATGGGGATGCCCGCGAGTAGTATACGCTGTGCATCTCTTGAGAAGGGGGAATCTGTCGCGGAATTTGTGGATTCGCTTTGTAACATTTGCTTGGATTTGAGCGAGGAATGGTTGGAGTCAATGAATATCCAGCAACGTTCAAGGAGCGTGTTCAGGAGAAGATGGATGTCCAGTTTTTGTAAATAAGATACAAATCAGAGTTTTGCATCCCTGTCCAATGGTCTGTAACCGGTCGGTTGGCATTTTTTAATAAATAACTCCGCAGTGAAGGCCTTCTTCCTTTCATTTGGTACCGTGACCCCGTATAAGGATGAAGACCCCGTGGCCGCAACCCTTTGAGGATGGGGAATTTCGGACCTTCCTGGAGGATTTTTGAGGAGGTTGCGGAGGCTGCCGGACTGGAAACCGACCGGAGTAATTTGGAGGCGCTAAAGATCCTCCTCAGGGGCCGGGCGAAGGCAGCCCTGGATGCGGCCAAAAGAGGCCCTCGGAAGATGGACTGGGCCGCCGCGAAGAAAGTTCTTGTAGCGAAATTCTACGAACAGCACATACTACTCGCGTGCCTCCCCATCAGTAGTATCACCGCTGCGTTGGTACCGTTCGTATTCACATGGACCAAGTCGCCACACATGTAAACTCCCATTTTATGAGTGATTTGTCGTGGCCTTCTACGGACCTTTATGATGCACATCAAGGCTTTTATGTTTTTCTGAACGTTTTGTCGAACGTAATCCCAAAATGATGGCCCGAACACGAATAAGAGTAACGCTTTGAAGGTGCTTCATTACTCGCTTATAATCGATGGAGTAAGGAATAACCAATTCGTTAAAAAGAATTCGTACTGAACGGTACGGAATATCGTGAACAGTTGTCGTTCGTCAGATGAACGAGGTCTTAGGAACACCGCGTGAAAGCTCGCGTGACATCTTCACAGGTCCATAATTTCCACAAGATGGTGCTCGTCTCTGAACTGTTTTTGGACCGATTATACCATACAGCCCAATCCTTTGGAATATTTGCCACTATTAGCAATGACGAGTTGGGTGTTAGTCAGTTTTTCATTTGTGTCCAGGATTTCGAGAAGTGCTCACCCGTTATCGTAAACGTCATGTGTTAGCGCGAAGTCAACATTGCAGGAAGCTTGGTTGTGTATCTAAGATGACGTGGTGAGTGAATAAGCACGGTAACGCTCGGTGGATATTTGTTTAGCACGTAGTTTTTCATTGCTGTCACACGACCAATAACATCGTGAGACTCAGTCAATTGTATTCTATTTTTTTCCCGCTTGCTTTAGGTGATGACCGTGTTCGGGATCTCGGAGGCTAAGAAGAAACCGAACCCAGCTTTGATGTTTTCCGACGTTTATGACACTATGCCACCTAGATTGCATCGACAAATGCTTGCAACAAAGGAACATGTTGACAGACATACAGACGCCTACCCTCTCAATGCCTTCGAACCATTCAATACGTCTGCAGTGGACTAGGCCCCAACCCCCCTCAGTCTTAGTCACCGGTCCCCTTTGCAACCATGTGGTTGTGTTTTCCGTTTGACTTGTTCTTGGGTTGCTTTCTTACGGTTTGCTACCTATTTTCTGATGGTGTATTTTTATTCACTACTTTTTATTTTTTTCATCTGATTATCATTGTAATTACTAAAGTGAATGGAAATACCACAATTCAATAATCGCTCACTCTGCTTTTAAGAAACGCTGCTCTTGTATTTTCCACTACATCTGCGTATGACTTGAGTAAACGCCAACTCCCGACCAGCAGTTCTGTTCTCCTCGGCTATCTGTATGCTCCTTCGCTTCAGGAACAAAAAGAGCCCTGTGCATAGAAGCTAATCGGACAGCGGTCCAAATTGAAGTGAAGAACAGCCTTCGGGATGGCGGATATCCAGCTAGTTTGATTAGGCGTCAATTGCGAAGGGTCAGAGTACCGGTGAAAAGAAGAAGGTCTTCGCTGCGGAGTTGTTTATTAGGAAACACTAACTGAGCAGTTTACAGACTATTGGACAGGGAAGCAAAACTCTCATATGCATCTTGTTTACAAAAACTTAATGTCCATCTTCTCCTTGAACGCGTCTTCCAGAACTTTCCTGGACATTCATTGACTGTTATTCAAATGCTACAAAGCGTCTCTACAAATTCCGTAACAGATCTCACCGTTCAAGAGACGCGAAGCGGATTTACGTGAAAACATGCTACTCGCATGCCTCATCAGTAGTATCCACGGTTACACTGGTAGCTAAACTCAACAGGAAGTGGATTGAGACTGCTGTTATTCCGTATAAAGCAGGGACATCGGAGATCACCCGAAAAAAACCAAACACGTCTAACATAAGAAGGGGAACAATGCACACACTGCACTGGTGCAATTGAAGGACCGCCTCCCTGCAAACAACCAGGGCCTGTGTCTACAAAATTAAGTGTAACGATTCCACTAAGGTCTATAAAGGACAGATAGCCAGGGACCTTCACAGTGGAATTGGAGAGCATAGGAAGAAAATAAACAATCGCCCAGAAACGCAGATGAATATCAAGCGTTACTGAAAGACTCGGCAACTTCGGAACATGCATTGGATACGGGACACGAGGTATATTTAGAAAATGTCGAGGTTTTGAGGCAAGGACTACGGTCCACGTCCCAGAGACTGATGGCCGAGGCTGTAGAAATCGTCAAGCATCCCAGTGTCAACAGAATAAAAGGCGTAGAATTGGAGAGCGTGTGGAGGAAGGTTTCGGATCAGTCGTGTCGATGTACGGTTATCAGGAATAGTCATCATCTGAAGTCCGCTTGACCTCACCTACCTTCCCGCCCCCAACTAGATTGTCGCAGCACTCACAAGCTCACAGAGACCAACGAAGTCGACTAGTGTCACCAGCGGTGAATCATCAATTGAAGCACCCTGAAGTGGAAGATTAAGGAACCAAACCCGATCAGAACTAATTTGAAGCTCCCTCAACCCTTCAATGTAAGATTTTGGCAATCACACTAGCCGACCAGAGCCGTTAATTGACACACAACACTGATCTACTGCGCTGATATAAAGACGTCTCACCTATTGGTTTTCTGTCTGTTTTAAAATACGGCCGACTTAGCGAACTGCTCACCTGGCCACGATGATTTTTGTGTCAGAAGCGTAACGTCGCCCAAATAAAAAGAACTACCGATTGTTTACCGAGACCTTGTGAAACAATAGCCACTTACGAGTTTCATCCTTGCGGTTTACTTGAACTGCTATGTTACACAGTCGTGTGATTGTGAGTCGGTTCCCACTCGCACCAAGTCTAGAATAGGTTGGGCTAGTGATAGGGTGGCACATCAGAGGCACGAATCTGCTGTAAGCACCAATGGTCATGTTCCGAAAAATCCGCCCCCCAACGTTAGGGCTCATATTCTGTGACACCTGCAGACCGGCTTCATTTTTGAAAAGTGCATGTCGTGAATAAATCCGGCTAAACGCATCCTCTATACTCTTCTCAGCCAAACAGTTAGTGGTTTTGAACGCAAGCATGCCACTGTTGTTACGCACGCGGCTACATCCAACCTTTGCAGCATCCTACCCTCTGTTTGTGCATAGGAGTTTCCTCAGACCTGACAAAGTCGTGAAAGCTGGATGCAATGGCCGCAAGTTTCATGTACAACAACTACTAACTGCATATCATACGGTGTCTATTCATTTCAGGATCACGGATCAACCTGTTTTCAGAGCCTGTTAGGGCTACATAGATCTATCTGATGGATGAATCCAGGGACCTATGGTTGTTCGGTCCTTCCATCTTTTCTCTGTTAAGTGCGTGCTGTTGCAGTGCTTTTCTTACTATTCCGTAGACCTCAAACAACCATTCAATGATTTTGGCATAAAATTCCACTCAGTGATTGCAGAATATCTTTAGTTTATTGCAGAAGAGTTTGTTATGCTTTTTAGCACTTGATACTTCGCCCAAGACTCGTCATCGCTTCCAACATTGTTTGCATTTAGAAAATACTAATACTACTGAGTACCGTCAGTAATATAAGGATAGTGAATCCTACCGTTGTTGTGGTATTAAACGATTAAGGCTGGTTTCAAAATATGGAGTTCACGTCAGTTGTTCACCCTCTTTAAGTTAACTGATTTTCGCACATCGGCATGTGTTTCATGACCTAGGCTGTCGACGAGTTTTCAGCAACCTTATGAGTAGTACACTAAAAAAATATACATGTATCGCGATATCTGGAATATCGTAGTGACTGAAACATGAGGCGGCCTGGTGCAGCACATTCGGTTACCTGGAATTGTCACAAACGGGAGATTCAGCTAGGTTCCAGGTGAGTTTCTCGAAAAACCGAATTAGCTTGCCAATGAGTTTATTTCGCTTACTCGGAGGTAGTCCACTGATGACGAAGAATCAACTGTGAATTTAAGTCCAACTTACTTGTATTCTGTGCCTCACAGGGACAACCCTTTCACTTAACTTCAGTAGTGGTTCCTTCTTCCCCTCTGCAGCTATCCGCCGGTCATATATCGAGTTGGTCTGCAGCGAGCGCGCAATTATTGACCCAAACGCTCGATTTTTTCCTTTACTCAGGGGGTCTCCAAACTTGTCCTCTTTTAGAAGAAGACTTCATCCGGCTCCCCGCTAGTTGGCATTGAAGCTGACACCATCTCTCAATCATAAGTTGTGTCCTGACTGGTTCCATTTAGTTCAAAATGTCAGTCTTCTGAGTATGCTAAAGTGTGCAAAAATCCTGCCGCAAATGGCAGGTAGCTGGAAAATTTCAGTTGCACAACATTTTACATTAGGAATCCAATGTTTTGTCAGGTACATCACCGGCTGTAACATACGTATCTGTTGTGTCACAGAAGGACAGGCATCCGAAGGTTTTGCACTCAGAACAGTGACCGCAAAAGATATCTTCAAGGAATTATAGGTTCCAGGGTTGATGGTGAAGGAAGTGTCCCTGATTGGAAGAACAGTTGAGTACAGCAAACTAAATGTCTGATTTATAGAATGTTATATGAGTGTGTTACATCTTATGTTGACAGGATTCCCCTGGGAAACATTTAGATATCTCGATCGTACAGTCAGTTTATTCAGCAGTGAACTTCATCTGACCGAATGCGTCCTACGGGCTGGTTCTTTCTGTTTGCCTTGTCACTTCGGGAACGCTTCTGAAGTTATTTTCAAATTAAAATATGAAACTGACTTTCACGTATCCCTCGAGGCTCATTAACTTCCTGATGGGTCTGACGACCCAAATAGGCCAGTCGAACCCAAAGGGAATTCAGTCTAATCTTTCGGACAAATTCGGGTCTAAAATACTGATTCTTCTGCCGGCAATTATGGCAGGAGTTTGAAAACTAATTGGATTATCCCTTGTTCTTAAAATAATACATGTGTTTCAGACGTTATTTCAGACCAAGAACAAAAAAATGAGATATTTAATTGCTTCGACTTTTTTGGATGCATTGTTCAGGATGATGATGTTTTTGCCATCAATTGACACGCTAAGAGAAGCGTGTGGAGAGGTGAATTATTTACGGATGTTTGCCTGACGAAGATACTTTCCTTCGCGCTGACAGCTACGTTTGAAATAACTCGATTTCGTGAAGTAACCCTTGCTGAGGTAATCGATTTAAAATCTATCCACTACCCTAGTCTGAATGATTACTATATAAATGCACTTCCTATCACTGGTAATGACAACCTGTTCCCACATTTTGCCGTGCTTCTCGCTAATCATTGTGTTTACTTGTTGTTACTTTCAAGCTGTGTTTTCTATGAGTTTATGTATGTGTTTGTTTTGTTTGGCTTCTACGCGGCTTCAGCAAGTAAAAGCACGGCGTTGATACTGCAGGGCCCAATGCTTTTTCCGGTCTGAAGAGCTAGGTCGGGAGCATAGACCCATCATTGGTAAGTGTTGGATATCCCTATTCACAGAGACGGGCTGCAGAGTACTTTGCCGGTTTCTTGCTCGTCCAGTAAATCGGTAGTTTGTTGGTGATCGGATTGATACTGCTGACACTGGTGCTAACTGCAGCCGTCCAGCTGAGATTATCGAATGTCCAGTGAAAAGAGGTTGGCGTTGTTCACACAACTTAACAGGCATATATAAAAATACAAAACAGCGACAAATAGGAAGAATTTCGGCTACCTCTCCTTCGTTCCCCCTTGTTTTTCACTATTCTCTCTTCCTTGTTAACGCCCTTTCTTCCCATCCTTTTTCCCTTTGTTCTTGAAGGGTAACAGAGATAGATAGAATGTTGGAATTCAACGTAGTTTGTGCTATTTTTTGCCTGGGTTTTACTTTGGAACTGTCTTCTAGGGAGACGAGGCCTTCACCGATCAGGGTTGATGCTGTACAGTGGAGTACTGGGCAGCTGGGCGTAGAGTCGAAATTGCTCGACGTAATTCCGGGAAGAACTAATTGAACTTGAAGCAAGTTCTATTACTTTTGGTGCCAAACATTTTCCCTTCCATATTAGGCTGGGAAGTCGGTATTTTGGGATGAGGGGATGAACGCTCATAAGATCTAACGTAATAGGGGTGAAAAGTTGCCTGCATAAATGCCTAGAAATTTACGTTTTATGTGAGTACTTGCACAAACGTCAAGCATCCATCTACAATACATATGCTGTCAGAATCTCTGAGGTATTTGATGGTATCAGCCGGACAGGCGCACAAGTGTCAAGGGTGATCAAACTGGACCGTTTTAGATAACAAACATGCAGGTTAAATCGTTAAACGATTCTTTTGATACTGCTTCTACAAAACCTGACTACA